TGCTGTGGGTTAACAAATTCAGTAATTGCAAACATATTTCAAAACGCTGACAAGTGAACTGCAAAGCCCCCGAGGCGTTTCTGAAAAGTTGATAAAATCAGAGTTAAGAGAATACGTTCCTCACTATTTTCCCCGTTTATCACATCAAAGATACTTTATTTACTCACATTGACGGGGAAAAGTGCAACTAAATGCTATTTTTATAGGTTTCTGTTGGTTGTCGATCAGGCAGTGACGGTTTTTCAAACTCTTTCTGTGAAGATGAGAGCGGGTCCGATTGGGACGGTTCCCCCAACCGGAGAGGCTGGTCCAGAACCCGCAGCCGACCACCAAGGCCAAACTTTACAGACGATTAAAAAGATTCAGCTGCTGATGGAGCGGAAGGAGAAAGATCCTTTACCGTGGACTGGGACGGCGCGTCAGGGCCGCCGTAGGAAAACAGATGAGGAGTAAATTTAAGTCAAAAAGCATTTTAGATCTCAGAAGTTTTCTACATAAAAACGGGAAAATCCTGAGTTTGAAAGGCCGAAAAAAAAATCAGACATTTTCAGCTTAATCTCAGAAACAACATTTCTGAGCTCCAAAAGTCTAAAATGTGTGATTAAAAAACTCAGAACTTTTAGATTCATCTCAAAAGCTTGGAAATGTCAAAGTTTGGAAAGCAAATATTTTCTAGAAAAAAACCTTGGAGCTGTCCGAGTTTGAAAAGTCAAAAAATTGATAGAAAAGCTCAAGACATTTTGAGATCTCAGAAATTTTCTGGAAGAGATTTGGACATTCCAGAGTTTGAAAAGTTGAAAATCTTTTACTTTTGTAACTCAGAAATTTCCAAGTTAGGAGAAAAGTCAATTTTGAAATTTTGAAATTTTTAGCTTAATTTCAGAAATTTTGCAACATTTCTGAGTTTCAAAAGTCTAATTTTTTGATTGCTGAGTTTTTTTTCAAGCTAATTTTTGATTTTGGAGCTCAGAAATGTTCTTGCTTTGACATTTTCTAGAATCAATCTTAGAATTTCTGAGTTTTGAAGAGAAATATTCTCCTTTTTAATCTGCAATTGGCATAATGCGCCGTTGCACACATCTGTGTGCCTCAGAACTGTGATTTTTGGTACATTCACTCCATTTGGATGATTTTTTGTGAAATTCACACACATCTAAATTACACTGCCTCAGTTCAACCAACTTTTAACTGCCCTGATCCACACGTTTTTGTTTTCTACTAATTTTTCAGAAGACATCCCTCCAAGGTAAAAGCTGATGGAGAAACGTTTGCGTCTAGCAGTTTTTACCCTTAGAGTTGCTCAATAATTCAGGCAGAAATTTGGAATCTGACCCAGTTTCTGTAAAAGCTGCTGCAACTTGATAAATAATTCTCCAATGGCTCATTAAGCATCATCCACTATAAATAAATAAAAAAAGTCAACAAGATACAAAATCTGAGGTGGCTGAACTGACATGCAACAAACATAACAAGAACAAACACTTAAAGCTCATTTCTGAAAAAAAAAAAAAAAATCTGTCTGAAATTCAAACATCTTGTTTTCACTGAAGCTTTTTTATATCTCAAAATGGAAGTTGGTGTGCATTCTGGCGCCGTACAAAGTGCCTGAACACTGTCAGCATCAGACATGAGGCGCGCTCTGTGACAGCGAACTCCTCCCTCACAGATGAAAATTAAAGAATGTGTCATTTCTAATAAAGTCCTGCTCTGTTTTCCTCATGCATTTCGTATAGGAACACCCCCTGCAGCACTTGTTTATCGCTGTTTTGATGAGGGAGGGGAAAAGAGTGACTGCTCAGCAGGATAAACACAAATACCAAGCATTTACCAGGTTATCACAGTTCAAAGGATCCCTCCCCTCCCTCTTCTCTGTACCTGGCCAGAGGATTGGACACTTTCACTGAAGCTTTCCACTGAACTAACGCTTTTTGTTATTTATCAGGAATGCAGGAAAGACTTCACTTCCAGCTGCTTATTTTCATTTCAAATAATCCCTCGTTTGTTTGGATGTGCGAGTTGCTAGTGAAAACCCGAATGTATGAGGAGTATCTGTATTTAGATTAGTGACCTGAAGGAACGGCTTTCTCCGGTCCGACACGTGTATCACTACTGCCATCTTGTGGACGGGAAGTTAAACTGCTCTAAGATATATAAAAAAAGAAGGATGTATTTCTCTATTTTTACTGCTCTGTCTTCCTATTTTTACTACCTTTAAATTAAATTTTTCCTCGTTTCTGTGAGACAAGCCTAAATTCCTCTGAATAACCTAAACCAAGTTAACTCAGAGAGCCTTTCTCTGCAGTCAGTCTGGTGACCTGATGGTTAAATAAGCTCTCCGTGTGCCGTTCCTGCTTCAGGCTGGAGGCACAATAATGTCAGTCGTCATCCTTCAGCCGCTCCCACTGTGAGAGGCAGCATGGCACAGCAGTAAACACTCGCGCTGTGTCAGTGGCTGCAGGCGACACAGAAATAGTCCTCCTCTTCCAGGACCTGGCTCTCCTGCTCCATCTTCAGGGTCTCTGACTCACAGACACAGCGGCTGCTGGTTGCCTTTCATTGTTGCAGTAATCCTCCAGAACAAAAGGGGGGAATTGAGACAATGAGCCAAATCAATGCCTCGTCTGTGGAAATACTTAGGAAGATGTTTGCTGGACTAACGAGGGTTTTATTGAAACTGACTAAACTCAAAACTCTCTATGATCATATCTAATGGTGAGCAGGTTACACTAGAAACCAAATATAATGCTTCAGTTGTTGACTGTGAGAGTACTATTGCTTTGTATGTTTTGTGTTTTTACGATGTAAAGCAATTTGTTGCTGAAATGTGTCAAGTTTCCATTAACAGTAAGATTGCGCAAATTGAAATCATATAAATCAAATGAGTAAATCTGCAGTTTTTTTTTTTCTTTTTACATATTTGTTAAAATTGTCACCATCTCATGACAATATGGCTGCGTTCACTGCAGGCTTTAATGCTCAACTCCGACTTTTTTGTGAAATCTGAATGTAGTTCACATTTCCAAATATATGGGATCTCCAGTGTGAACCGCAAACAAATATGTGTCCCGCATGCGCAGTAGAGGGCGCAGTAACGTGTTTTGCCAACAGCCATAAAAAAGAAGAAGGAAAAAGAAAAAGAAGCGCTCACTGTATGCGGAAGTAAACATGGATGCTAATGGTGGAGCACAGCTTATGATTTTAAAGTTGTTATCCAACCACAGCACATTAACAACTTAATCCTCAGCAAAATCCGCTATAGTTGTTGTTTTTCTCCCCGCTTGCGCGTGTCAGGACGCATAATAGTGACGTTTGTCGAGTATCAATGACGTCCAGGTTCCATGAATGCGACCGGGTCACGTTCAAACAAATCAGAGGTACCGGGGTTAGAACCACATTTAGGAGCTGTGGATTCAACACGTTTGAATTATTTTTTTTATAAACGATATGCTGTGAGAGCTGTGATGGAGTAAGAAGCACATTGTCCGAAAACAAACATCCTCCCGCTACTTCTTGTCGTCTTCTTCGTCGTTTTCGCCAGTTGGTCACGTGACTCATACTGACGTAATTTTTTTTTTTTTTTCCAAATTGGATTGTTTCCTTTTAGTGAATTTATTTTTGTAATTTCAGTTTTCGCAATGTTATGGTTCATGGAAATTGGCTCTGAGCCTTCTGTAAGCATTTAATCGAGTTCAACATAAAGACATTTTGAGGGAAAAAAAAAAAATCATGTTTCAAATGTGTGTGTTCTATTTGTTTTATTTGTCTATTCTTAGACTAAACCTCTTAAAGGGAAATCAGCCACAATAGACCCAGGCAGGTCAGAACCTGAGACGGGAAAGCCAAAACAGCCATGGACACTTTCACACACATAAACACATTAACATGCTGCAAAAGAATCCGTGTAACCTTTTCTTTCACCAAACAGAGACTTAGCACACGCACACACACACCGTCTCATTTCACTATGCAAGCTGTGCTGACAGACGCGGCTGTCTTCAGCTGCGGGCATGTCACATGCTAATGTATTCAACCACCCACAGCAACTGGAGAAGCAGCAGTGCTCTTAAGTACAGTCCAATCAGTCTCCGGACTGCTAATGGCTCCAATCCAGTTTCCTACAGCAGCTTTTACTTTCTCTTTTAAATGCCATGCGATCAAATGTCCCCCGAAGCTGCAGCGGCCCGACAGCACCACTGAGTTTTCACGGCAGAAACGGTTTCATTATGTCGACAGTGGAAACCGATGGACTAGCTAACCGCTATTTGTTGTATCCGAGGTTAAAGCTGCAGTAACTTTTATAAACAGCGGGTTTTTGTTTGTTACATATTATTGAAAATGTCACCGTGTCGTTACACTTTGTTATGAGACGTGTGAAAACTGAGCTACTACTGCTGCTGTCTTAGGAAATGCGCCGCTCCCGTTCAAAACCAGCCAATCAGAGCCAGGAAGCCAGTCTTTTCTCTGTCAAACCCACGTAATCACCGCTAAATGAGCTAATGGGGGAGAAACAACTTACCCTCGTTTCTCCTCGAGAAAACCGTTTATCTGCCGTCATGCTAACTAGCTTTAGCATTCACAACATGCTGTACTAGCCGCTGCCCACATGAGATTTTGATTGATAATGTCAAGACCCGGCCCTTGCCTCTGATTGGTTGTTTCTGGTTAGCGCTGAGAAGTAGAGGAGCTCCATTTTTTTCAGATCGTCATATATGACAGTAGCTGCATTTCTATTGCAAATTTTCACAAAACGTCAATATTTTGCTATTTAAAAAAAATAAAATAAAACTATTGATAAGACCGAAAAGCCATAACATGAAAATTACACGTTTTTTTATGCGAACATTTTCATTAAGCAAATTTATTTTCAATATGTCAAATTGTGCAATTATGCATTTGTTGGAAATGCAGCTAGTTTCGTATATAAATAGAAAATATAGTTTTTATTAAAGTTACATCCTGTTTCAGTGACATTCTCTTGCAGAAAATAAAACAGCAGCAAATAATGTAGAGAGGAGATTTTCTTTTTAATTAGCATATTGACTTTTTCTTAGAAATCTAGTCTAAGTTCAGCATAAAAGGAGGCCATTGACAACCCAAGACAACAGAAGCAACAAAACAAAATGCAGTGGACATACCTCAACAATTCACAGACCACAGTGCTTTAGGAAAAAATAAAAAGACAGGATATAAGAATACATATGAAGATAATCCTAACAGAAAGTCAGATTTTAATGCAAATATAACCCAGTGTATTTGTTGATTGTCAAAACATTTTTGTGCCAGCATGTTTTACATTCAGAGTGCCTGCAGGATGTGGACCTCTTTGGCTCTGGTGAGTTTGTAAAGCAGACTATGGAGGTCAGGTAGTCCGAGTTTCCCTCGCTCGGCGGCTCGGCCCGACCCGGAAAAAACAGCCCATTGGGCCGCGACGCGACTCGGGATCAATATGGCTTCATCCCCAACAGAAACAAGGGAGTTCTTAACCAAACAGGACAGAAAAACAATAAGAAGGCACAAACTTCCTCTGACCAGAGACACAAAAAAAGGGGAGAAATAAGTCGGGTTTTATTGTTCCTAACAAATGTAGAAACTTTAGATTCTAAGCAGAAAATCAGTATTGACTGATACACTTGATACTCTGTGTAATATAAAATCCAATAGTTCTGAAAGCACAGCCTCGACTGTTGGAAAAAGGAGAGAGGTATATCCGCTGAAAAGAGGGAACAAAAAGCTCATTCAGTAAATGTTTAACAGATATTCACAGCAGCAGAATAATGATGCCGCGCTGAGCATTTAAGACCAGAAATTTAAAAAAAAAACTAAACAAAGCTGATTATATCGAAAGCTATACAAAAAGAAAAAAAAAAGCCAGTTAGGCTTCCTGTATCTTCGTTTTCATCTTCCCTCAGGTTTACACGTAAAAATAAAACGAATGTGCCTTTTCTTTACAGAATTTAGGAATTAATAAAATAAATAAATTTGTTGTGGCCTTAAAATTGAATCTCAATTGCATATTATACGTCTACATACAGTATATATATTTATTTATAAATTCATATATATATTGTTTTACATAAACAGGACTTAAACCGTGGAGCATCAGAGGGAGAAATGGAAATAAATCACTTTTATTCTGCTTTTCTTGCTGTGCCCTCCGGTCTGCAGCTCCACACAGAAAAATGCCCTTTTTCATGTTAACAGTGTTTTAATTCAGGGCTGACAGAGAGTAGATGCACACCTACTCTGTCTGTTTCAAAATAAATGAATATCAACTTCCTTGTCTTTAAAATAAACAGTAATTCTTTCTGCAAACATCTCATAAGGCACTCTCTACTTAAACTGCTTCAGGCGTCCCTTCTTGTTGCACCGTTTGGCATTCAGTCCTGGTTTTTGGTTTGTTGTCCTCTGACAGCGTTAGTCCGATGAGATGCAAACGTTAGAAAATAAAAACAAAAACTTGACTGGCACATTTTTCATCGTAGACATTGATCCCACGTTTGGATTTTTTTTTTATCTACACGGAATAATCCTTGTTGTGAAAGCTAACTTCTTAAAAAAGAACAAAACGCTAATCGCTCCCTAGATTTTTTTGAAATTAGGCACATGGTCACATAACATGTGAGTAAACAATAAATCCTGAGGCTGAACTGACTGACTTTTAAGAGCAACATGCTGCAAGTTCACTCACTTCTGATGTTGGAATCAGACCGTTGTGGTTGGAAAAGGAAAATATCGAGTCTGTGGTCAAAATAATTTCGATTTCTTTGTGTGTTTTGAAAGAGTTCTGCGGCCCTAAGCCTCTGCAGGCTCACTTTTTATCTGGATAAAGTTTGCAGGCAGCTGGACGGAGAGCGGCAGCTCCTGCAGGGTTTTGACCCCCGGCTCCGGCTGCAGAGACATTTCCCCGCGCACCTCCAGCTCCTCCACCGGGGTCAAGCCCTCGCCGGGGCTGCTGCTCTGGGAGTAACGTCCGTTCATTAAAGGTTCGCTCGCCGGCGCCTGGGCTTGGCTTTGACTGGTATCGATGATCACAGTCCTGTACTGCAGCTCCGCCTCGCCGGCCTCCATCTCCTCCTTGTCGAATGTGTGCGCCGCCAGCGACGGGTCGCCGTTCACCATCGACTGGAAGTAGCTGGAGTCCAGCATCTCCTCCTTGACCTGCAGCGCCGACAGATCGCTGGACTTCAGCACCGTGGCGATGACGGTGCCCGGCTGCTGCGCCACCATGGCGTGCCCGCCGCTGGTGTTGATGGTGACGAGGCGGGGCAGGCCGTTGAGACCCGAGCCGGCGGAGCTGATGACTCCCGGAGGGGAGGAGCAGGAGGAGACCGAGGAGGAGGAAATGGTGGAAGAGCCCAGATTGGTGACCAGGAGCTGCTGCGGGAGGCCGTCCTGGAGGCCGCCGGCACCGCCGGCGAGAGACGCCGTCTGGATGGTGAGCACGTCTTTGCCCCCCGCGGCGGCGGAGGGAACAGTGTGGAGGATGACCCGAGGAGGCGAGGAGTGGCTGGAGTCGCCGTTAGCCAGAACGGTGAGGGGAACCGACTGGAGGGCGCCGGAGGAGGTCAGAACCATCGGTAACGACACGGGGCTGCTGATGGTCCTGAGGAGACAAAATGATTAAAACTCAGTTTTTATCTGGGTTTTTCCCTCTACAGCCATGAAAAATATCAGGACAACCTTTAAAATCTGACAGCAAAGGATGCAGCTAAAAAAATACCTGACTAATCAATACAGTGAAAAGTTTATCTGTTCTTTAGTTTTTAGATTATTCAATTCACAACCGGATAGTAAATTTGACTGAAGCTGTGCCCCTGAAATAAGACATTTTAAATCATCTTTCATCTACTTACTCTGAGCCTTTTATCCACTTTTAAAATTAAAATAAAAAGCCTGATGAATAACCAAGATGAATATTCAGCCTATATCTTTGGAAACATGGATATTTATATTTATTTTTATTAAACCCTACTGAGAAATACAGCCAGTGTATCACAGGAAGTCCTGTCCTCATCACTACTGTAACGAATAAGAATAATATAAATTATTCTGTTCTCAGTTTCCCAACTGCTGAGCTTTTCCAGCCTGCAAATTATCACAGGAAAGATGAAGCATTCATGATGCAGGCAGTGGAGTCCAAACAAACCAACACAAAACGAACTGAACGTTAAAACCACAGAGAGAGAAAGCAAAGCCGCTTGAAACAGAAATGACAAAACTACGATTAACTGAGTTAAAAAATTAAAACAAGTGAACTGAGCAGGAGTTTTTATTTGGAATAAATTTTAATTGGTTCGTCCAAAGTTCACTTCTTCCACTGTGGTTTAAACAATTTAAAAATAAATAAACAAAACAACAAATAAAATTAATTATAAATTCTCTGAAAGCTAAACTGTCCTTCAAAATAAAGGTTTAGTTGCGACCAAAACACCAGACTGAAGACTTTTATCATCCTGTTTTGGTAGAAAAACGATAAATGATGCCAATGGAAATGACTGAGCTTGTTTTAATTCATCCAGTGATTAACTGATTTATTGATTATTGACCCGGGCCTGTGTGTCCGGTCAGTGCGCGGCTCTCCTACCTGACGGCGTGCGCCGCGTCCTGAACGCCGTGCGCCTGGTTCTCCTG